CTTGGAATAAGAACTTCCTCATCTTTAAATTTTCCTTTAAGTATCGACGCGTTAATCACATTGCTCATCAGTTTTCTTATCACCAAACGCGTTCCATTACACAGTTTTGGTTGGTTTAAATTTCTAAGTTGGACAACAAATGTCTGACATGTAATAAACAAATCAGCATCTATTCAAATGATTAAGTATTCATTACACATATCGAGTTTTCATTGTTTTTAAGATGTATTCTGCTATTCGGGCTATTTTCCACGTTCATGAGTACTTTGATTTAAAAATTGAAATTTCATACGGAAAATTCTTGAGTCTATTCCATTGATCGGCAGTGAGGAATAGGCAGGGAATAGATTCAAACTTTAGACTTGGAGCCCTGCGGATCAGTGCGGCTTTTCGCACAGTTTCCACAGAGGCTATTCTGGTGAAAACCGGCATACCACCCGTCGAACTGGCAGCGATGGAAGCCCGGACAGACTACATGGAGAGGAAGGTCGCCATCACGCAAGAAGACGACAGAGCAGCCAGGAGCAGAGCGAGGTCCATATGCCTGGATAGATGGCAGGTTAGATGGGATAGAGCGGAGAATGGCCGCTGGACACACCGACTAATCCGCGACATAAAGGCGTGAATAAATAGGCGGCATGGGGAACTCACGTTTCCATTGACGCAGGTTCTGAGCGAACATGGGTGCTTTAAGTCGTACCTACATCGCTTTGGCCACGAGGAAGACGAACTATGCACCAGCTGTGGTGTGGAAGAAAACGCTGAGCATGTCCTCACCACATGCGTCAGATTTTCAGAATCCCGCGGACGAGCAGAGGGCACTCTAGGGGTGCCTATCACAGTAGAAGCCTGGTTCCAGCTATACTGGACGGCGATTTGCAGCCTTGCGACGGAGATCGCGAAAGAGCTTAGACGTCTGGAAAGCATCAGAAACGAGCAGCCGTAATAGGCTAGCCAGCCTTGTGAAGCAATGCTTCACGGCAGTCCCGCAAGTCTGGTTTATATATACATATTAATTATACCTTTATTCTTTACCGTATATTTTTATATTTATATGTATATATCCTTAGGTTACTACTATTATGAATACAAAAAAAAAACGAGAAGGAACGTGTGAGTCGTTTCTGGGGACACGACTCTACTTATACCCGTACTCAGTCAGTATATACATTATTGAGCTTATAATTTTTTAGAATTTTAGAAAAAAAAAAAAAAAATTTACATTTTACATTTTTTTGCTACATCTGCTATCTACATCTCATCTACAATGTCTATTCTACATCTAACATGTAGATTGTACATGTTCCATTCATATTCTACATCTCCTCCGCTAGGGGTTGCTCGCGCACTGAACGCGGCAGCGTGTGCGAGCGAGAAGGAAAATGAGTTGTGTTGTCTGGAACGGGAGGGAGAGGGGAAGCAACTAAAAAAAAAAAAAAAAAACTAAAAATAAAAAGCGTGACTGGCAACGGCGACGGAAACTCCTCCATTGCCGTTTCCATTTCTAGGCATTGGCTCCTGGAATAAAAGAAAATAAACAAACACAAAATGGCACTGAATGGGACATCCCACGGGGCGTTGGCCCCCACAGAGGCGAATCGCAGATGCCAGATAAACATTAAAAAACGAAATGGTAAGCGAAAACGAAAATGAAAACGAAACAAAATGATTGTCGCATTACGCGAGTGTTTTTTATACCCGTACTCAAAAAAGAGTTAAGGGGTATATTAGATTTGTGGTAAAAGTGGATGTGTGTAACGCAGAGAAGGAAACGTTTCCGACCCCATAAAGTATATATATTCTTGATCAGCATCAATAGCCGAGTCGATATAGCCATGTCTGTCTGTCCGTCTGTCTGTCTTGTTGAGCGCCTAGATCTCAGAGACTATAAGAGCTAGGGCAACCAAATTTGGTTTCCAGACTTATGTGATATCCCACTGCTACAAGTGTATTTCAAAATTTCGGCCCGCCCCCTTCCGCCCCACAAAAGACGAAAATCTGTAGCAGGCACATTTCTAAAGATACGATAAAACTAAAAACGCAGTATCGTAGAGAATGACCATATCTACCAGACTGCCGAATCTGAATCAGATCGGATCATAATTATAGCCAGAATGAAGAAATTAATTTTCAGTTGCTTCCCCTCCCCCTCCTCCAACAAACGACAACGCAACTCATTTTCCTTCTCGCTCGCACACTCTGCCGCGTTCAGTGCGCGAGCAACCCCTAGCGGAGGAGATGTAGAATATGAATGGAACATGTACAATCTACATGTTAGATGTAGAATAGACATTGTATATGTAGATGTAGATAGCAGATGTAGCAAAAAAATGTAAAATGTAAAATTTTTTTTTTTCTAAAATTCTAAAAAATCATAAGCTCAATAATGTATATACTGACTGAGTACGGGTATAAGTAGAGTCGTGTCCCCAGAAACGACTCACACGTTCCTTCTCGTTACCTCTCCTTTTTTGTGAAATTAGAATGCAAACTCCAACAGTCCGTCCGCCCACACAACCGCACACAAACACACACACTACACACACACACACTCGTTCCACACCTCGTTATGCCTTCTCCTTCCTCTGGCTTTCCTTTCCCTTCCCTTCACGAACCTTCCTCTCATTATACCCGTACTCAAAAAAGAGTTAAGGGGTATATAAGATTTGTGGTAAAAGTGGATGTGTGTAACGCAGAGAAGGAAACGTTTCCGACCCCATAAAGTATATATATTCTTGATCAGCATCAATAGCCGAGTCGATAGAGCCATGTCTGTCTGTTCGTCTGTCCGTCTGTCCGTCTTGTTTGACGCCTGGATCTCAAAGACTATAAGAGCTAGCGCAACCAAATTTGGTTTCCAGACTCATGTGATATCCCACTGCTACAAGTGTATTTCAAAATTTCGAACACTGCAGAGTACTTGGAAACACTGGATGTTCAGTAGATTGTTGTCACCCAACGAACGGACGTGTAGAATTAATATTTTTAATATCGACGCCATCCTGCTATTACATAATTACACGGAAACACTTCAAATAAACAGTCGAGAAGCAATGGCAGTCAGACCAAAATTCCAGGCTCGTATTTACTTACATTATTTCAACGCATAATCAATAAAACCAATCGGCAGAGTTCCTCGATTCTAGCAATGGATTCTAAGTAGCCCATAGTTTTTTCTTTTTATTGCCTTTTCAAGCTTCAACTTGGCCGAGCTATTTTTTTCTGGCGCTGGGCTGGGACTGGGGACTGTGGACTGGGACTCTCCTTTAACTCCTGCTGGTAGACCACCCATTACTCCTACTTAGAGGGGGATTAGCATTTTCCCAACACTCAGCAGCAGATCGAAAATGCCGCATTGTGTTTTAATTAACTTTCGAAACTCTCGCCCACCCACAGATAAACATTGCTGTTGTTTCTGTGTGCTGTGTGTTCCTTGCTACTCGTATATACATATGTATGTATATCCTCCCTGCTGAACCCTTTGCTGCCACTGTTGTTGACCAAAATTCGTTTTATTTCGTATATGTCCTGTGCGCCGAAATTGCAAATGACATTTACATTCATATCTGTGTACGGTATGTAAGCCACATGTCCATTTCAACTTATGATAACTGCACAGTAAAGATCCTGGGACGGGCTGCTTGTGGGTGGGTTACCTACGACAGTAAATAGGGATAATGCCAGCATGTGAACCGAAATTTAATTAGATAGATCCAACAGTGAATGCCATGACCCTGCACTGAGCTGCTGCTGCTGCTGTTGCAGTTTCAGCTCAATTCTCAGCTCTGCCACAGAAACTTGGCCACAGATGACTGCATTTAGCATGGGTCAGCTACTGCCAGAATATTCCAGGCCCGAATGAATATTAAACGACTTCCTAATGATGAATAAAATTAGCATCGAATAAATTACAAATATGCGTAATCTTGTAATGAACATGAAACGCATTAATTAAAGGGAGAAAGAAGTGAGGCAGATTACAGTCACAGCTACAGGCAAACTTTTTGGTAGCAAAGTGCTAAATGGACTGCACTCAAAGTTACTTGATGATACAGCTGATAAGAGGCAGATGTTGCTGGAAATGCACTAACAGGGTATACAATGCACTCTAAATTAATATATTTTGTACTCTTTGACAGCTTTGGGCAATATTTAATACATATGTACATGATTTAAGATTTAAGAGGGCGAAAGAGAGATGATTTACAGTGGGCAGTGCAAATAATAAACAATGAAGATGATTTATGTTAGGCTGCTACTCTGACTAATTATATATTATATTATATTGTGGAATTTGGGACATTGTTCTGTGTGTCTTTGGAGAGTAAAATGTCAAAAGAATATTGGTCTATAAGGCTGCTTCTCACGAAGCTCTTGCTCTGCTTGAAGAATGCTCAAAATGGACTCGTTGTCGGTCACATCGCAGCAAGAGTTCCCATCATAATCGAGCAGATCGTGTCGGGGATTGTACTGCAGCAGAGCACGCACTGCCTCCAGGTGCCCGTTGATGGGGCTCAACTTCTTCACTTTGTGGATGAAATTCCGCTGGGCAGCTGCAGAGGACCGGCGGCCCAAGCTCTTCCAGGCACACCACTTCTTATGTGCCTCCAGATCATCTAAGGGGGGACAGGGCATCCGGCAAGACCCCACAGTTGCCATTTGATAAAGCCATACAATTCCATGCGATTCGGCTCGCTGTACTCCAGCTCTTTTCATATCAAATAGTTGGCAGCCACATCAAAGTCTTTGTCGCTTTGCTGCTGCTGCCGCTGCTGCTTCCATTTCGCGACGATGTTACCCATTTTGGAGTTGATTTTGGTGGTCTTCTCTCACCGGTCCTTAGTTTGGATCCGTGTGAGATTTTGATCAATCCTAAATAAATATATTCCTCGCCTACTACTACGCCTACATGGGGGGAATGTGGTCTACGAATTCGTTTTTTAGGTTTACAAGTAGGCTTTGGATATTTGTATAGTCAACCACAGCTCTCATTCCCCCACACAACAGTTATTCAACAAAACTAAACCAAACAGTCAACAGTTCCACAAAAAAACCAAACAAAATAAAAGTAAAATTATTCTTAGTTTTTCCGATTTTTCGACTGATAAAATGCCTGAACGACGACACCACCACCACGACGAGGGCTGGGAACGCCGCGAGCGCCGCGAACGCGAGAACAACAACTATTCCGAGCACTGCTGGGAGAGCGCGGAGAACCAACCACAGACAGAGGCTACCTTCAGCCTTGGCTATAGGCTGCAGGCAATTGGTTTGTTCCTGGCCACACTGGCAGTGGGCTGGATGCTGTACACTGTCGTCGCCGAGAAGGTGGTCGTTCCACCAACAGTGGAAGAACCTGGCAAGATCATCCGTCAGCTGGAAGGATGCGCCGAGGGTGACAGGTCTTGGCGCGACTCTGACTCTGCCGCCGCAGCTGCGGTGGCAACAGCCGAGGAGAAGGCATCCCGCTCCTACTTTTGTCATCAGCCAATTTACATTAAGGAGAGCATCCAGGTGATTGGCAACCAGGTGGTCGGGCAGGAGAAGGCGCTCGCCAGGCTGGAGCAGGAGCTGAGCCGCGATCGCAAGTTCCGTTCGGTGGCATTGCTCGGCCCACCTGGCGTCGGCAAGACAATGACAGCAGCGGCTCTGATCAAAACATTCCCATGGCCTGAGAACGTACGAACATTGTCGTGGAACGCCACGGGCTCGGGAAAGGACCACGTCGTGGAGTTCCGTAAGTTGCGGAAATTCATGAATCAATTGTCGAGCTGCGGCATGAACTTGCATGTCATTGACGACCTGAAGGCGGATGACATAGAGATAGTCCCCATCTACAACAAAATGATCCTGCAACGCGAGGGATCCCTGGACGAGCGGATGGCGATGCAAACCGTGTTGGTTGTGTACATCTTCAACCTGGAGTCGAAGCACCTGGAGGAGCAGCAGAATTACCTCCAGCGCATGTCGGACAGCACCGCTTCAATCAACTTTCGTTCGTTTGGTCTTGAGGAACTGAAGCTGTGCCTGGAGAGCGAGCTGAAGGCCATGAAGTACGCACTCAAGGAGGAGTGCGAAGCTGCAGTTCTGAAGGAATCCATGGAGAAAATCGACACTTTTGGGTGCAAGTCACTTCGGCCACTCATCGAGCAGCTGGGGAATCCGCTTAGTCTGATTGATTGCTGATCATTACATTAAAGCTATTTCGTGTTCGTTGTGAATACTTCTGTTTCTGCTATTTTTGGTTATGTTGTGCCAACCCATCTGGCCAAAACTCTGCTCTACACGATATCTACATTAATTCTACTATGACGAAATATCAGACTGGGAAACCCGTCTTGGATTCGAAATGCATTGGGTTCTTTTCTTCATGTATCTGTGTGCTGGTGAGGCGTATAAGCTAATGACACTCTGATTTGCACTCTAACGACCATTAAAAGACAGAAAACTGATCATAAGCGACCTGTTAAAAGCCACTCGAGTAAATGTGTCTGATTTGCTCAGACTGAACACTTAAGCTTCAGTTATGTCAGATATTGTGAGATATCTATATGGCATATACATGCATATGTAAATCTCTATTTTTGCACATAGAATTAAGCATGAATAAAGTACTTACAGGACACACAGTGCACTGTACAGTGAATATTTCCGCCTGGCCTGTTAAGCTCTTATTGCTTTATGCCTCTAGTTAATTACAGCATAAATCAGGGCACGCAAAACTTTAATTGGCAATAATTGTACATACATACTTATTCAGGTATACATACATATTTATTCATTTGTAATTATGAGGTCAAGGACACACCTGTCATGTCGTACTTTAGCCCACTGTTGCTGCCCCTGCGTCTGTTTTTCCCACAAATCTCAAATTTGTCGTGGACAACGTCGTTGAAAAAGAATTCCGACTGAGCATCATGTTATTTTGTTGACACATTTCTGTGGCAGACGGTGCTCTGGTGATGGCCAGGGCAGTGGCTTGGAGGGTAGGGAATATTGAAACTAAAGTCTGTGAACACATTGGGGCTCGATTACAATCGAGACGGTTTCGCTAGAGCACGGCTGAATGATGTTTACATCTACAGCTGCTATCTGCCACCGAGCCTCACGTTGCAGCAGGCGACGGCGGTGCTAGAAGGTATTGCGGATGACGCCCGGGAGAAACACCCTACCATCATTGCCGGCGACTTTAACGCATGGGCGACGGAGTGGGGGTGCCCGAGAACCAACCCAAGGGGACAGGCACTCTTGGAAAGCTTCGCGACGCTCGATGCCGTGCTGCTAAACACAGGCAGCCAGCAGACATTCGGCAGAGCAGGAACGGGGTCCATAATAGACCTAACGTTCGCGAGCAGTAGCCTTAGCCCGAGGACAACCTGGAAGGTTAGCGACATCTACACTGGAAGTGACCGTCTGGCCCTGATCTATAAAGTCAAGGACGTTGCAGCACGTAAGTCTGTCCTGGGCAAGCAGATCAGGTACAAAGTCGACACGCTAGAGCCGGACATGGTCCGAGCCATGTTCGACCATTATGAGACCAACGGGACAGCCTCAGAAAGAGCAAGCCAATTGGCTAGGCAGACTTTGCAGCATGTGACGCCTCCATGCTAAGGAAAAGGCCGAGCCCTGGCAATCGCAGCCCAACATACTGGTGGACTGCAGATATAGCCAGTGCCAGGCGGGAGTGCCACCACACAAGGCGGCTATATCAACGCTCGAGAGGATCCCCGGAATTCGAGAGGCTCCAAGGAGACTATAAAGAATGCACACGCCTCCAGAAGAGGCAGATCAAAGAAAGCAAGCGAAAATGCTTCGAAAAGCTCTGTGACGACGCAGATGCTACCCTTGGGGCTTCGCATACAGGCTGGTGATGAAGAAACTGCGAGGAACTGTTCAGTTCCCCGCCGCCAATGTGTGCAGACCTGCTGGCAAACATAGTGGGAACTCTATTTCCAGAGCAAGTGTCAGCCCAGAGAACCCACTACAGAAGCAGAAATCCTCGAAGCTCTAACTCGAACCAAGAACGGCAAAGCACCGGGACCTGATGGGGTCCCAAATGCCGTACTCCGCACTGCGATGGAGACAAATCCACAAACCTATGTGGGACTCTTCAACGCGTGCATGTCCGAAGGAATATTCCCCAGACCATGGAAGCGACAGCGGCTTGTCCTTATACCCAAAGGGAACAAGCCAACCGAGGAGCCATCATCCTACAGACCACTCTGCATGCTAGACACAGTGGGTAAGATCCTCGAGCGCATAATCCACACAAGGCGGGAAGCGGTAACGCGTCAGCTCTCACCGAGACAGTATGGGTTCCGCAAAGGTAGCTCCACTGTGGACGCAATTGGCGAGGTATGTGAGATAGCAAAGCGAGCTATAGATGGCACCCGATGGATGTATGGGAGCAAAGAGTACTGCATAGTGACAACACTCGACGTCCAAAATGCGTTTAACTCTGCCAGTTGGGACCACATACTAGAAGCATTGAGAAACTTCCAAGTACCGCCGTATTTGCAGATAATCATCGCTGACTATCTCAGAGACCGAGTGCTCATATTCGAGACAGAAAAGGGGACACGTGAGCACCAAATCACTGGAGGTCTTCCCCAAGGATCGGTACTCGGACTGTGGAACAGCATGTATGATCGAATCCTAAAGATGAATATGCCAATGGGTGCCACGGTGATAGGATTTGCCGACGACATAGCAATAGTCGCAGTGGCAAAAATTTAAAGAAGAGGCAGAGAGAATCTGCAATGACGCCGTAGAGCGAGCCAAAACATGGCTTTCCGGGAGGGGTCTAACATTAGCCACCCATAAGACAGAGGCGGTGCTCATAAGCAGCAGGAAGATAGTTGAGACGGCCACAATCCAAGTAGGTGACTAAAATATTAGCTCCAGTCCAAGCCTGAAGTACCTGGGGGTCATGATTGACCATAGACTCAGTTTCAAGCACCACATGGAGTATGCAAGCAGCAAAGCCGGTAAGACGGCAGTTGCCCTATCTCGCATAATGGCAAACACGAGAGGGCCAAAACAGCCAAGACGGAAGCTCTTAGCGAGCGTGGTAAGTTCGACGTTAATGTATGCAGCACCAATATGGGCCGATGCATTGAAACAGAAAGCATATGCCCGAGAATGCAATGCAGTCCAGAGAGTGTGCGCCTTGAGAGTATGCTGTGCATTCAGAACGGTATCGCAAAGGGCGTTGGACACATAGGCTAATCCCCGACCTGCAGAGTTGGCTGAGCCGTAGCCATGGACAAGTGGAGTACCACCTGACCAAATTGCTGACAGGACATGGATGCTTTAAATCCTACCTGCATAGGTTTAAGCACGAGGATGACCCCTTCTGTGTGCTTTGCACACGGGTCACCGAAGACGCGGAACATTTTTTCTTTAAATGTCCAAGGTTCGAGCAAGATCGGGTAGTCCTCACCAACAAGCTTGGAAGGACGCCATCAGTGGCAAACCTAGCGCAACATGGCCACAGTGATGACTACCAAGCTGCGTCGCGAAGAAAGAGCAAGCAAAGAAAGGAGATAGACATACTCTAAAATGAGCGTATAGGCATTTCCCCCCGGCGAAGTAATATCTCGCGACAGTTCCGCCGGGACCGGGGTTGGTGTGTTAGATTGGTTTTAGTGGGTTAGAGTCCCACACTTCGGCGCCACTGTAACCATCTAGGGAGAATAAGGGGACGATTCTTGAGGCTAGTGCTCTTGCACTCAGGCCTTCATCCATATTCCTCAAGCGAGTCGAAGGTATCCGAGCGGGGCGGGACCCTATGTTTCCGTTAGCTCTTTCGGGGTGGGGGTGGGTTTGCTAGGACCTTGACTCTCGCCTACATAATCTTATTTAAGGATCCCTACTGAAACTAAAACAGGAGCTTTACTCCTAAAAAAATATAATCTGATTCGACGAAGAAAGCCTAAACAAACTTCGGGCAACAAAACGAAAGAATTTCCCGATCAATAATAACGAGGTATGGGCGTGGTCGAAAGGTGTTAGTTGACCAACGCGTTCTTTACCCTCCCTACCTGGATATTCAATATACGGTTTTTCTGAATATCCCCTATTTCCATGCTATCTCTCAGTCCTCCAGGTCACCGCTTATGAGACTTTTAGTCACTCATTCCAAATTAATATTCTTTTTATTCATATGAATTCTAGGTAATGCATTTCAAACATGCTTTTCTAAATTAATCGTTTCGAGGTTATTCTATATATGTGGGCTAATGCTAAAGAAAATATTTAATTCAAATTTACATGGCTAACGAAAATGAATAATTTTATGATAACAAAACAATACGAAAACGAGAAGGAACGTGCGAGTCGCTTCTGGGGACGCGACTCTACTTATACCCGTACTCAGTCAGTATATACATTTTTGATCTTATGATTTTTAAGAATTTAAAAAAAAAAAAAATTTACATTTTACATTTTTTTGCTACATCTGATATCTACATCTACATCTACAATGTATATTCTACATCTAACATGTAGATTGTACAATGTACATGCTCCATTTAGATTCTACATCTCCTCCGCTAGGGGTTGCTCGCGCACTGAACGCGGCAGAGTGTGCGAGCGAGAAGGAAAATGAGTTTCGTTGTCGTCGTCGGGAGGGGGGACAGGGGAAGCAACTGAAAATTAATTTCTTCATTCTGGCTATAATTATGATCCGATCTGATTCAGATTCGGCAGTCTGGTAGGTATGGGCATTCTCTACGATACTGCGTTTTTAGTTTTATCGTATCTTTAAAAATGTGCCTGCCACAGATTTTCGTCCTTTGTGGGGGCGGAAGGGGGCGGGGCGAAATTTTGAAATACACTTGTAGCAGTGTGATATCACATGAGTGTGGAAACCAAATTTGGTTGCCCTAGCTCTTATAGTCTCTGAGATCTAGGCGCTCAACAAGACGGACAGACAGACAGACGGACAGACGGACAGACAGACATGGCTCTATCGACTCGGCTATTGATGCTGATCAAGAATATATATACTTTATGGGGTCGGAAACGTTTCCTTCTCTGCGTTACACACATCCACTTTTACCACAAATCTAATATACCCCTTAACTCTTTTTTGAGTACGGGTATAAAAAGATATATATGTTAATGATACAGGAAAAATGTAGGAAAAAATATTTTATAAGTGGTTAATATGCTTTCTCATAGCATTTCCCGGATCATTTTTATAAGATCGGTCGAAATT